TCGATAATCTTAACTAACTAATCATCTTAAAGCATATAGTAATGAAAGACGCGTTGTACCATCTTTTTCAATTTCAGTTCTTGTTCAACTATGGATGGATAACAAACATCCAGAATCACATCATAGTAGTTTATGTAATCGCTAACAATCTCGTTTGCCTCATTTATTGCATTGTTGCATGATTTGGACACGTTGTGTGTATCAGCGAAGACATAGTCATCGAAATCGCAATCATTCGCAATGGCAAGGCCAACTTCATCGGAGATCAGTCCATGCGACCAGTAGTATTCGTATGTTGCTCGTGCATCACGATCAAGTTTCAGAAGTGGGTTTCCAATCTAAGAAACGAGGAAGGAGTGAAATAGCTTTCAAATTAGAACATCGGTAGCAGAAAAATAAATGAGTAAACTAATGCCAAAAGATTTTGCATCAAAGGGGTCTTACAGCTACTCCTTTAATATTGAATTTGAAACCATTTGAATGAGTATTGTGGTCCAAAAGAACATTGGCTAACTGTGGTATATAATGTCCTGCATAACATTTAAATGTCAGTAACAAACAAAACTATATACTTTTTTTTTGCAGGAGGGCAAAAGAACTTTTTCCAAAAGGAAACTAAAAAGGTAATCTGGTGCAATAATTTTATATCGTTAACCCTGTTAGGAATGATGACATTACGTTATCTGCATGTGCATAAATATTAGAATAAAAAGTTTAATCTTAAGAAAATCACGTCATCTGATGTACTATTATATAGAATATTTTGGAACTCGAGACCAACTTTGGGAGTTTCAATTCAATAAAATAATTATTAAATGGGATGAGATTATTATTGGTTGGACCTGCATAGCTTTCTCCGGTAAGAAACAGCTCCCTTGATCTGTAAGAAGGAAACTTCTCGTACCATTTCAGCAGGAAGAGAAGCGTATCATTGGCTGCCAAAATAGAAAAAATGTTAAAGCTCAACTCTAGTAAAACGAGTTTGAAATTATGCATACATAATCACATAGATTCATTCTCAGCCTTAAAAAGAGCTTAAACGAAGATTAAAAAATATATTAATTGGTGATTCTATTTACCTGTGGATGCATCGCCAGCGTTGTAATCTGAAGTTGTGTTTGAGTATGACCAACCAACTCCAGCTGGAGACTCCAAGAAAAGGAGGTTGGATGCTATGAAAAAGACATAATGTCAGAATCAGGAATCAATGTAAACCCCAATTATTCTCCAATATCGCAAGAAAACTTCATGTAAAAATTTGTGACATATATAATATGTATACCTCTATTCCAAGACATTGAATTTCTTCGAAGACCACGTCCATCACCTCTGGGATAAAAGGGACCCAATTCAGTAAAGGCACCTCCTCCAATGGAGGAACATCCTGGGCCTGAAAAAAAAATAGTACTTGCTCTGAGTTAAAGCAGTTTGACAGTTTTATAGTGTTTTGTAAAATATGTTAACCTTAATAGCCAGGGTATATTTGATTTATCTGTTGTAGTTTTTTCTCTCAAAATAAGAAAAACAAAACTGTTGTATCTTTTCAATAAATAATTCAAAATTTTGATCCAGAGGATCTGGCTATGGGGTCCTAGCAAACAGGATTTTCATTGAGTGAGACAAAGAACCTAAACTGGTAGGGACAAAGAAAGATAAATGGCAACCACCTATGGTTTACAAACAGGAACATGGAAAAACCTAGACAGAAACAAACTAGAGATGATAATGTAAAAGTGTGGAAAAAGATGAAATCGAAGAGTATGAAGGAAGGAAATTGTAGAAGAAAGTAAAGAATGAGTTAATTCCTTAAAGCATCCAAAAGTAGGAAAGGGGTGATGTGATGGAGCAATGAGAGGAAGGATAGGAAGTACCAACCTCCATTGAGCCAAAGAGTGAGGGGTTTCTTTTCATGGTCTTTCTCAGCCTCCACAAAATAGTAGAAGAGGCTTCTTCCATGTTTGACGTCTACATCCACATATCCTGCATATTGCTTGAATCCAACATTAGGTTGCCCAGGCAACTTCTCTATCAGATCCTCAGAAGGGTACCCTTCTACCCCAACACTGCCCAACAACACAATCAACACCCCAACTAACCAACTCCCTTTCATTGTAACAACTTCAATCCCCTCAAAACTCCTATCCATTTCCTCAGTAACCCTTCACTCTTATATAGCACTTAAATTTGTTTTAAATTACTATTTGCCCTATATAACAAACATTGTTTTCAACTTGGTCCCATCCTATCATATACAGTCAAAATTTGGAATCAAACTACAAATAAATAAAAACAAAAATGAAAAGTCATATAAAGAGACTAAAAGTGTTGTTTCTCTAGTTCGCATGTATGTTTGAATAAAAAATGAATAGGAATATGTTTGGTTTGGTGTTTTGTATTTTTTTATTATTATAATTTTACATTTGCAGGGTTTATGTTGGAATATATATAACGAGAACAAATTTGAAAACATCAGATATATTTAAGTAAAGATGAAAGTTAAAGAATTACCAGGAATATATATTTTTTAAACAAGATACTTTCTTCCCTCTAAAATAGGCAATTGGTTTCTTTAATAGAACAGAATGAATAGAAATTGATTACGGATCTGTTATGGAAGCATGCACGTGAATCCCGGATTTCCTTTAACAAAAAGGTGAATTTCCACTTAAAGATCTGAATTGCATAGAGAATATGTTATATGCCCTCAAATCAAATGCATGGATAAATGGTATGCAGACTTCAATTTTCTCTGGTTGACTGTGACAAGACAAATTTTAATAATAGAGGTGACAATTTTCCATCAACATGTGAAACATTAAATTATTAGATAAATACACCTAATCCGTTTAAGGTTAGAGCCACATTGCGACACATCATTATGCATATTATTCTACCAAAAACCGAGAGACACGGCCAAGAAAGTAGCATAGTACTGGGGGAGGTTACCTCCAAGGATTATCGATAAACACTAGGAAATTTCATAAAGAAAAAAAAAATGCTACAAAGTTGATGAGATAACAATCGATTATCAAACAAAGCAAAATAATAATAATAATAATAATAATAATAAATAAAAATAATTTGTTAACTTTGTGTATTAATTTTCATTTGTTAATTATGCGTTTCTACTTTGTTTGGGAAGGCGCAACTACTAATAACTGGTAACCTTATTTAGCTGCAATTTCGCCGCACTTGTTTCACTCACTTTCTGCGTCTCAATCTCATCACTAACTGTGCCATAGTTTTGTTTAAGGTTTCTGCTTTGTTGGCCAAACGATAAGGGAAAAAGGTCGACGCAAAACACTTTACAACTTTTCAAACATGCGCGGGGCTCAAATTCTCAAAAAGCAACTGCTCATATACAATACTACTCATACACTGTTACTTTTTTTAAGAATCTAAATTATTCCTTCACCATCCAACGTATTCCTAATTCTACTCCTCTACATCAAAATTTACTAAGTAAATTATTAAGTTTTTTTATGTTAACTTTACTTATTAAGCCTTCTTATAATTCTTTGTTTTTTTGTACGAAGTTCTCGTCAAAGTATCGTTGTGAGACTTTCAATAATTTAATTTTAATTTAGTTTATGCATTCTTATTTAGATTCTTATAGCATTTTTAATTTGGTGTCTTAGGTGTGGCAAACGAGTTAAAAATGCATAGATGCAAAAGCAAAATTAGGAATGTGTGAACCACATTAATACTTTGTAACAAAGTATATCTTGAACTTTTTTACGTAAATTATAAACTTTTTTTTATTGAATACGAACTACATATAGGAATCCGATGCATTTGCGAAGAAAAAGTGAAATACTTTATGCTTTGAAATACACTTACTTTTGAAGAGACAAATATACTCACGCGTGTGTGCGAGACACTTTTTTTCATGTCATTTTTTTATACAAACTAAAGTATATTTCTAATGCACATGGAAAAGAAAAAAAATCTACAAAAAATGAAAGAGTGGGCATTCTAGTTGTCTACTAATGAAACAGGGTTTGCATACCCAAATTAGAGCTAAGGAAAAGTACGTTTCTGAGATGTAATAGGTTTCCACTTTCCTCAACATATTAAGAGTATATTAGATTTTGAAACATATTCAGAATGCTAGATGTTGCAAGGGTGACCAAACCCCGTCATAAAATTGGATCAACAGACCTCAAACTAATCGTGTTGTTGTCTGGTTCCTGTATGTACCAAAAGTCAAAAAGAACATTCAAAGCTTTAGAAAAATTACTTGTTTTTTCTCAAATTAGCAATTATGTCTTTCCTACAAAATCACACGAGCTTTGAACAAGACGAGACACCCACAAGAATCCTATAAAACTCTACTTTTAGAGTTGTTTCATATTATATACTAATTTTAAACTTTAAACAATGAGTTAACCCAAATTCAACTCTTGCAATGGATAGAGTTGCTGTTTAGAATCATTACTTTATGATGAAAAAAATAATTTTTAAAAAATTTATATCAATGAAAAGGTTAAAAAAATTGTTCGTTATTAACGTTTTTTGGCAGAACTAATGAAAAAAAGTTATTATATATAAAACACAAGGATGCAAAAAGAGTCAAAATTATAAAATTTTAAAGAGATTTAAATTTAAAATTCAAAAGAATGTAATGAGACAAATAAACTTCTAATGATCAGCAAATATATTTGGCTAATTGTAAATATTAAATGAGTGAAAAGAAAAAAAATGTAAAACGAAACTTTTTATGAAATAGTGAATCGGAAATGAGTAACTATGTATATGCACATAGAGATACAAAGAGAGAGAAAAATGTTTTTTCTTCTTCTCCAAAATTGCACAACGGAAAAACTGCAATGTATGTCAGTCACAAATACATTCCTCAGAGACGTGGCATTGTCATGCCATATTGTTGGCATACCATGAAATAAATATAAGAAAAATAACGGTGTTAAACAATGTCAATAATATAAGTTTTTACAGTCATCGAATTAAATTCAATAAATAGTTTGAAAGCAGTACAGGAGTACATTTAAAAGTTAATTGTTCCAATTATCTACAAATGCAGTTGCTTATGGTGTACATACAGGTTGAGACACGTATACTATATGCATAGGAAAGATGGAAAAATCTAATAATTAATCAACAACTTCCGGGGAAAATGAATTATTTAAATATCAGAGTGCAACCGTACAAAACGTAAGGAATCAAAGGGAATGCTTAAACGCCATTCTCTTTGTTTTTTATTCAGGGGTCTTCTTTTACCTGATTTCTGTCTGTTGACTTTCACATCGGCTAAACCCCAGGTGCAACATTTCGTTTCCAGGTCAAAGGATTCAAGCATGAAGACACCCTCACTCTCTGCAGCTGGGTTATTTGGATCATTAATAATGACATATTTCACATACATAGGTCGCTCCTTGAAGCGATCTAGGTCATCTGGAATCCGAACTATTCTTTCAACACCAGGAGAAGACACCTGAAAAAGCAAACATGTCAAACGCTAATAATATGAAACATTAATGATCAAAATGTCAATCCCTTGGGATCATCCTTCAAAATCAAGAGGGAAAAGCATGACCCATAAGAAGATACAATGTTTAAAAAACATTATCCAGACCTGTCTGTGGATTTGATTAGGACATAATAGTGATTCATAGTTTGTGCTTACAAATACTGATCATGTGATAACGTTGAATTGTATCCACCCCCCAAGATAACAGAACATGTCAACAAGACACTTGACATGAGATGGTACCTCCAAACATAAATTGTCAGGAACTGATTTAGCAAGTTCAGCTTCATCCAATTTTTCTCTATACGTTGCAGAGAACGCTTCAATATTTTCCATGCTGGGCGAGCCAGACCTACAGACAGAACACAACAACTAAGCCAGACATTCATGATGATAATAGCCAGCAACTTTAGAAAAATAAAAACGATGACTTAAGCCACAAATGGCATTATGTGAAAATGCAGATATAGTGAAATCGGGGTATTTCAAAAGGGTAGCCACTATCTTAGACTTATGGTTGACAGTAAGGACACCGACAACAACTCTAGACCCGAAGAAGCAAAACAGTATTTCCAGTACTTAACCTTTCTCAAACATTTCCAAAATCAAAGTCTTTGCTGGACAAAACTTCCAAGACATGATGGAGTGAATTTCACTTTTACAACCATCAAACCTAACTCCATTAGACCTGCAAAACAGATTGAAGACTAGATCCATTCGACTCGTGTACTGCTCTTATAAAGAAGCCAAGGATAATTGGGACTTGTTGATTCTCAAATACAAAGTCGAAGATGTTATGAGGCAAAGATTCGTCATTGGAAATTACTACTGTAGGGAGATGATAGAAGACAAGGACATCAAGATCCAGATCAGTGAGTACCACAAGTTGTTCAAAGTTATTAAAGTAAAAAACATAGTCCTGCTTAATGAATTCGTTTCAAAACTTTTAATCAAAAAGCTTCCGAAATTCTAGACAGACTACAAACATCAGCTGAAACACAAGCACATACAAATGTCACTCCCAAACCTTATCACACACATCACTATTAAAGAAACCAACCAAAAGGAGTGTGCTGCTAAAAGGGATAAGGCATTATGGCCAAAGCAAATATGGTAGAAACCATTTCCAAAAATCTACGACAAAAAACCCGATCACAAGAAGAAAAGTTTTAAAAATTCTCATCCTAGTGGATTTAACTTCACTTTCAAGAAAAAGAGGAAATTGCTTTGTATGTGAAAAACCAAGCCATCATGCACCTCAATGCAGACACAGAGTTAGAAACTAAAATACTCCTAAGGCAAATATAGCCAAAGGAGAAAATCTAATTGTTATGGTTGGTAGACTTTTCTTGTAATGTCTTAGCCCTTGTAGCAGCACATTCCTTTAAGTTGGTATCTTCAATGATGATATGTGATAAGGTCTAAGGGTGACATCTGTTGTATGTGCTTCAGCTGTTGTTTGTAGTCTGACTAGGATTCCGAAAGCTTTTCAGTTAGAAGTTTTGAAACGAACTATTCAGGAAGGACTATGTTTTCTTCTTTAATATCTTCGAGCAACTTGTGAAACTTGTTGATCTAGATCTTGATGTCTTTGTCTTATATCATTTCCTGATAGATACCAGAAATAAGGAAGCACACAATAGCTAAATAGTCACTTTATTATTAAAGAAAAACAGAGTGCATATCCCAGAAAGAGAATACAGATATGTAAAAAAAAGAAAAAAGGTATTTCTAGACAGTTAGAGAGTGTCTAGTCTCTCCCAATTCCCAGCCAATTCCAGCCCCCTTTCCCCCCACTCTCTTTCCACCCCTTATACCCCAAACAACATAATTACTAATTTCCTACTGTGCCAGCTCAGCAGTTTGTTATATGGAAAGATTCTTCTCATTCTCTCTCTGCCCATTTTGATCCCCTACTTTGCCATTCCTTCTTTGTCTAACATACACCTTAGATATTTTGGGTTTGGGCCTAACTATTTCAGGGTTCCTATCAACACTCCCCTCCACAAGATGCACCTTGTCCTCAAGGTGGAAATCAGGAAAATGCTCCTTGATTATAGATAAAGCTTCCCACGAATTTTCAAAATCTGGTAAATATTTCCACCTAATAAGAATTTCGAGATCCCCTTGTTGATTCCTTCTAACAGCAAGTGCTTCTGCTGGTTGAACCTTCAATTCCCAATCATCTGCTAAAAATAAGGGTAATGGTTGGCTAGTAATTGTTGCAGCGATGGATTTCTTAAGTGCAGAAACATGGAAAACTGGATGCACTTTGCTTCCTGAAGGTAGTTGCAGTTTATAGGCAGAAGGACTAAACTTCTCCACAATTTCGTAAGGCCCATAATATCTCGGACTTAACTTTTGATTGACCTTTTTAGCCAAGCTTTTTAACTTATAAGGCTGTATCTTCAAATACACTACATCTCTAACTTCAAATTCCACCTCCCGTCTATGCTTGTTGGCTTGCTTGCACATTCTGTTTTGGGCCTGGACAAGATGCTCTTTTAACTCATCCAACATATGATTCCTATCTGCCATCAGTCTATTGACCTCCTCCACCGAAGACTGTGTCATATCTCCTCTAATTAATACTGGAGGTTCTCTCCCATATAAAGCCTTAAAGGGAGTCATTTTGGTAGATGAGTTATAGTTAGTGTTGTACCAAAACTCTGCCCAGCTAATCCATTTAGGCCACTGTTTAGGCTTAGTCCCACTGAGACACCAAAGGTAAGTCTCCAAACAGCGATTCACGACTTCAGTTTGTCCGTCCGTTTGAGGGTGATAGGCAGAACTGAATTTCAGCTTAGTGCCAGCCATTTTAAATAGTTCTGTCCAAAAATGACTGATAAAAACTCTATCTCGGTCAGACACAATTGAGGAGGGAAACCCATGCAACCTAACAATATCTTTGATGAAAATTTCAGCAATGTCCTTAGCAGTGTAAGAATGGGCAATAGCTATAAAATGCGCATATTTTGTTAACCTGTCCAAGACCACAAAAATGGTGTCAACCCCTTGGGTTTTAGGCAATCCTCCTATAAAATCCATCGAAATGTCATACCAAGTGTGAGTAGGTATTGGCAAAGGTTGTAACAGCCCACCTGGGTTCAAGGCTTGATACTTATTTTGTTGGCAAACTGCACAACTCAACACATACTGTTGTATTTCTTTCTTCATCCCTTCCCAAAATATTAATCAAGAAATTCTCTTATATGTTCTGAAAAATCCAGAATGCCCACCCAACGCTGAATCATGAAATTCCTTGAGTATTAGAGGAATTCTTTGGTATTACCATTCGTCCTTTTAAATCCTTTGAACCGGCCAATTTATCATTTCATTAACCTTGTCTGGGTCTGCCGAAACTCCTTTTCCCGAAATCAAATGTCCCAAATATCTCAACTGTTGCTGCCCAAAATTACATTTCTTGGAATTTGCAAATAAATTATTTTCCCGCAACAATTGAAGCACCAATTTGAGGTGTTTTTGATGGCTTCCCTCATCCGGACTATAGATTANAATGTCCTTAGCAGTGTAAGAATGGGCAATAGCTATAAAATGCGCATATTTTGTTAACCTGTCCAAGACCACAAAAATGGTGTCAACCCCTTGGGTTTTAGGCAATCCTCCTATAAAATCCATCGAAATGTCATACCAAGTGTGAGTAGGTATTGGCAAAGGTTGTAACAGCCCGCCTGGGTTCAAGGCTTGATACTTATTTTGTTGGCAAACTGCACAACTCAACACATACTGTTGTATTTCTTTCTTCATCCCTTCCCAAAATATTAATCAAGAAATTCTCTTATATGTTCTGAAAAATCCAGAATGCCCACCCAACACTGAATCATGAAATTCCTTGAGTATTAGAGGAATTCTTTGGTATTACCATTCGTCCTTTTAAATCCTTTGAACCGGCCAATTTATCATTTCATTAACCTTGTCTGGGTCTGCCGAAACTCCTTTTCCCGAAATCAAATGTCCCAAATATCTCAACTGTTGCTGCCCAAAATTACATTTCTTAGAATTTGCAAATAAATTATTTTCCCGCAACAATTGAAGCACCAATTTGAGGTGTTTTTGATGGCTTCCCTCATCCGGACTATAGATTAGAATGTCATCCAAGAATACCAACACAAACTTCCTTAGATATGGTTTTAAGACCATGTTCATAAGAGCTTGAAAGGTAGAAGGAGCATTGGTTAACCCAAATGGCATGACCAAGAATTCATAGTGCCCTTCATGTGTCCTAAAAGCTGTCTTAGGAATGTCTTCTTCCCTCATTCGAATCTAGTGGTAACCAGATTTTAAGTCCAGTTTGGAAAATAGTACAGCCGATCCTACTTCATCCAATAATTCATCAATAACAGGGATGGGAAATTTATCAGGTACTGTCAACTTATTAAGTGCTCTATAATCCACACAGAATCTCCAACCACCATCTTTTTTTCTTACAAGAATAAGAGGACTAGAGTAAGGGCTAGTACTAGTCCTAATAATCCCTGCATGCATCATCTCACCTACTATCTTTTCAATCTCATTCTTCTAATAATAGGGGTACCTATAAGGTCTGATATTTGGTATTTGAGCACCTTCTTTGAGATTGATTGCATGATCATGCTATCTCCTTGGCGGTAGCCCTTGTGGGTCCTGAAAAATGTCCTTATACTCCTCTAGGACAGCCTTGATCTCATCAGATAACAGTTGTTGATTTTCCTTTGTATCCTCCAACTACTGATATGCAATATAGTAGCCTACTCCTTCATCTTGTAAGGCTTTAATCATGCTCTTCCAGGATGCTTGCGCCTTGCTTAGGGAAGGGTCTCCCTCTAACACCTTCTTGCCTCCTTCATCTCCCCATTTAATGATCATGTTTCGAAAATTAGCTTCAATGTCACCAAGATCAGCCAACCAGTCCATACATAATACCACCTCAGTTCCACCCAAATTAAACAGAAAAAAATCTTGTTTAATTTTGACTCCCTGCACCTCAAGATCAACTCCTCTACACAGTCCTCTACCCTTCACCTTATCACCAGTTCCAACCTCCACAGTATAAGTAGGGGTATTCTCCACTGGAAAATCCAACTCAACTACTAATTTTCTAGAAAGGAAGCTGCTGGTTGCTCCACAATCCACCAATATCAGCACTCGTCTTTGGCCAATAGTTCCCCAAATCTTAAAAGATTTGTGAGAGGTCAGCCCCACTTTACTTTTCAAAGACAATTGAAGGGTCTTATGCTCCAACTCTGATTTTTCTTCCCCTTCCTCATCCTCATCCTCAGATTCTTCCTCACCACATTCTTACATCAAAACCAACTGATAATGCTTCAACTTGCATTCATGTTCAGGTCCCCATTTCTCCCAACATTTAAAACACAACCACTTTTTACTCCGTTCTTGCAACTCAGCTTGCGAAAGCCTTCTGCCCATAGTGATTTGTTTTTCTCCACTAGGCCCATTTTGTGGTTTGGGCTCCGTTGAACCAGCACTTCCAAAATTGGGCTTATTAGCATTCAATTTATTCTTCATAAAATCTACTGTTGCATTATACAATCTACCAATCTTAGTCACCATTGGAGAAATCTCCTTCTCACCCATGCTTACTTTCTCACCCGAGCCTAACACCCTTTTCTTCAAAGCCCAATTCTTCTCTTCCAACAATAAGGCCCGATCCATGAGTTCTGATAACGATTCTATGTTGTACAGCTTCAGTTCGGCTTGCAATTCGACATGGAGTCCGTTTAGAAAAATTCCTTTTAACATCACCCAGTCCGCGTTCTTCAATGGAGCTGAAATCATCTCAAATTTTTCCCCAAACTCCATTATTGTCCCCGCTTACTTAATGCTCAACAATGGCCCAAAAGGATTCTGCACCTAGTCCGGTTGAAACCTCCGAATCACTGCCTCCTTGAACTAGACCCAGCTTGGTGAAGGTGTTTGTTCCTCCCACCAATGGTACCAATTCAATGCCCGGTCCTCTAATGCTACTAACACCACACTCATCTTTTCATAGTCATCCATATCGTTCACCTTGAAGTAGCGTTCAACTCTGGAAATCCATCCATAAGCATCATCATCAGCAAATATGGGAACCTCCAATTTTCGCCCTTTGTAATCCCCCTTCGGTGGTCGACTCCCCTTCCGCGAATCCCGAGTTCTAGAACAGGGTTCAAAAACTCGTGATGAAATAGCTCGACTACCTTGACTCTCCCCCTCCGCGTGACGTCTCGGAGAACGTCGTTGTCGTGATCGACCCCTTGTGTCTCCGCGATTTTTCTCCTTCAATAGCTGTTTGATTTCGTCCATTTGAATTTGACTCTCATGCTTCCATTCAAGCATACTTTTCTCTAGATTTTCAATCCTCGACTCCATTGTTGTTCTTGTAATAACCATCCAGACCCCAAGAAGCGTGGGCTCTGAATACCAATTGATAGATACCAGAAATAAGGAAGCACACAATAGTTGAATAGTCACTTTATTATTAAAGAAAAACAGAGTGCATATCCCAGAAAGAGAATACAGATCTGTAAAAACAAGAAAAAAGGTATTTCTAGATAGTTAGAGAGTGTCTAGTCTCTCCCAATTCCCAGCCAAATCCAGCCCCCTTTCCCCCCACTCTCTTTCCACCCCTTATACCCCAAACAACATAATTACTCATTTCCTACTGTGCCAGCTAAGCAGTTTGTTATATGGAAAGATTCTTCTCATTCTCTCTCTGACCATTTTGATCCCCTACTTTGCCATTCCTTCTTTGTCTAACATACACCTTAGATATTTTGGATTTGGGCCTAACTATTTATGGGTTCCTATCATTTCCCAACAGTAGTAATTTTCAATGACAAACCTTTGCCTCACAACATCTTTAGTTGTGTATTTGAGAATCAACTAGTCCCAAATATCCTTGGCTTCCTTATAAGACTAATACACATCAAGCAAATCATTAGATAATGCACTGCACAAATGTGTCAGCATACCCAAGTCAAATGGATTTAGTCTTCAATATGTTTTGCAGGACTACTGGAGTCAGGTTTAATGGTTGTAATGGCGAAAGAAACTCCATACATGTCTAATAGAGAAGACATGTGTTTCTACTAGTGTCAGAAGTTTTGTTCATCAACAAAGACTTCAATTTTCAAATGTCCAAGAGGTTTTGCAAACATAGGTTGAGTTATAGAAATATTGTTTTTCTTCTCCGATGTAGAATTGTTCTTGGTGTCCATACTGTCAGTCATAAGTGCTTAAGGCTATTGTAAAAGTTGATGAAAACACAAACAAAACTTGATTCTAACTACCTTGAAAAAGTTATTCATGGTGTATTGAGCAAGTTCTCTAAGATACAATAGCTTCTTGTATTTTTGAAGGAACCCAGAAACTAAGAAATAGAGGAAAAGTGTTGTATATTTTGGAGGAGAGGGAAGTGATGTATTTATAGGTGGGAAAAGTGTTAGAGACCTCGTGGCTCATGGAAGAAAAAAATAGAGGAGCCCATTGCCTACAAATGCACACCGAAACGGAGGCCTGTGCGTGGAATAAGAGCTTGGAGATAGGCCCAAATCCCAAAAAGGAGGACACATGCAGACCGTTGCAAAGTGAATTTCTGAGGTGGTGGGTACCCTTTTGAAATATCCTAGGCAGTGATCATACACACTTCAAGAATCAAGTTTTGTTCGTACTTTCATCAACTTTTACAGCACCAGATCATTGATACTTGGTTAGTACTTGGTTAGTGCTTACATAGTTAACCAAAAATCCATTCGCTAACAGATAGGATTTGCATTCAGAAATTGTGATAAATCAGGCACTTTGCATCAGTCCAATGCACCAGTCCAATCCACTTAGAAACACGGGACAAAAAATCGTCAAACCTTTGTAAGTAAAATGAATGCTTACAAAGGATGTAAAATGAATGCTTATTAGCAACAAGCTCCACAATCCTTAAACTATGTAAGTAAAAGGGGAAAAGGGAATACTGAATACGTGCATTCAACTTCAGCATTTCCATTTTCTGCAGTGTAGATCTTTACAAATAAAAATTGCACCAATTTCCCACATCCTTACGATAGTTACACATTCTGCAATCTGGCATAACAACCTATTCCAGTATACCAGAAATAAACCTAAAAAAACCATGAGCAAATGACAAAAAAGAAAGATAAACCTTAATGTAACATTACTTTTAGGAAGGAAACACTGCTATATAGCACATAAAATTTCAACAATCCATATCAGTATACCAAAAAGAAAGATAAGCCTAAACATAACAATACTTCTAGCACATACGTATGTATTGCTAAAATTCCATACATATTTAGATTTTGTGTGTGAACCTCAGGTATCCTCCGCCAGAGTCAAAGACTAATCAAGAAGAAATACATTTAAGGAGTTGGTTCTTCCAGAATTGAACCCCAAATTATATGCTCAAGGTGCAAGGTTACTTATATATAAGCATAATTTCATAAATAATTGGATAAATAAAAAATTATGCTATTTATATAATTAATCAAAAAAGATCCTAAATAGTTATCCGATGCCCCAATTATGTTAAAAAAACTAAAGATTCATCACAAACAGTTCAGAATAATATATGCCTTTGTTCATAATAACCATTCAATAATAAAAGTTATCAAACTAATAATGTCTGCCTGTTCAAGGAGGTACGACTAATTCTTGATCTAGAAGGAACTATTCGGCCAATAAGTGAGATAAAACCACACGTACGGTGGCCAAATTTTCCTTGCTATTTAATCTTATCAAATTGTCTAATTTCAATATTTCATAAAAAAGTTAAAACAGAATGGAGTCCTAGTTCGCCTTATCGTTTTTGCTCTCTCTACCCCTGCCTTCATCCTCATAATAATTATAAAAAGAATAATAAGGATAAGAAGAAGAAGAAGAATATTTTCGTCTTACTTTTTGGAAAGGTTCTCAATGCGCACTTGAATGGTGGAGTTCAGCAGTGTTTTAAAAGCATAAATTTGCAATTCGCCATCAAAAGAGAGAGTAACCTCTTTAGCAATGGCTAATGCTTTTTTGTCCCACCATGTGCCAGCGAGGGAGATTCCACCGCCTGCGCCGCCATCACCTGCCTTCAAAACATTCTAAATCAATAAATCATATCATTTCCCCCAGCCAAAACACACACTTATCATTCTAATTTCTAAAAAAAACTTACATAAGGCACACCAGCCTCCTCTTGTTCCTCAAAGTATTCGTCATCGTCACCGTCGTCTTCATCATCATTATCATCCAACTCTGTCTCTGTGCAATGAAACGAAAAGTTCAGAAAAAATCGGAAATAGAGAGAAGCGATTAGATTCGAGAGACTGAGCGCAATTTTACCGTATTCATACTCGTCGAGGAATTCTTCTTCTTCTTCTTCTTCTTCTTCTTCTTCTAGTAATGATAGTTCTTGGACAACAGAGGGTTCTGGTAGCGGCTCTGAATCAGAGTCTCTCTTTCTGCCACGTGGAATTGGAGTGAAAAGCTTTCTGCGAGTGCTTGTATAGATGCAAAAATGACTACATTGTTTTGTTGTAGGGAGAGGAGGGGCACAGAAGCTAACACTAGTAAGAGTGATAAGTGGTGTTGAAGGAATTGCACCTACGCAAGGGCTCAACCTCAAACCCTTTATCAAATCCATTCAGTTCCAAGAATCCAGTGCCAGGGGGAAACAGCAACATAACACTCAAAGGTGGTGCTCAATTATAAAAGCCGAGCTTTTGTAATCAAATCCACAGGCCCAAGCCCATGAGTTCAATCCCCTTTCATCTATCATGTCAAAGTTTGGTCTTATTCTGTAATGAAGTTCATGTAAAAAATAAACCATTTTCATGAATAGTCATGTTTTCTATTTTCAATTTGAACTTCTTTTTATAATGTATCTTTTATAAATACTTAAGTGGTAATTAATTAATCTTGATATGAATTTTCTTACTGGTAACTAAAAAAAGGTAATTACAAAGTGAATCATTTTATCAAATCTAATAATTCAACCTTCTTCAAATTAATCTCTTGGTATTCAGAGAATAGTTAATTACTTATGACGTTGAATAATTTTGCGAGTAATTTTTTCTTTTTCTTTTGAATATACAATTCTAAGTTGTCCCTTCGCATACTAGTATTCAAGTGTCTTTCGATCTTACAAAAAACAAAATCATGAAATTACAAAGAGAAAGGTTGTGACTCTTTTAGTCACTCCATTTATATATTCTTTGCTATTACAAAATTTAGAGTAATGGTACCTTAATCTATCATGGGAAAGCTTTCGGATTAAAAAAATATATTAGCAAAAATACTTACATTCATCTTATCTTAAATGAACAAATGAAATTTACAACTTATTATATAATACTTATAAACTAAACATAGATGTCTTTATTTTTATTTTAAAGAGAGTGTTGGTTACTGCTGTATATCTAGTTATTTTTCTTTAATTTTCTTTATTTTATAAAATCCATAAATATGTTTTCTAACAAATCTTTCACTTTACTTCCTGGATATCATTCTCGAACTTAAAAATAATACTTTTGAAATATTAATATTAAATAAAATCAAATGAGTTAAAATTTGTATTTTACTAAATTCATAAAATATAATTTTACCGGAATATAACACTTTTTAATATTTGTTATTTGGGTTAAATATGTTTTTACTCCTTAAACTATGAAGCGAATTTGTTTCTTGTCTCTCTTTCAAACTAAGCTACATTTTGATCTTTCTCCTTAAAGAAACCATAATTTTTGTCTCCAAACACGTTAAAAAAAGTCGAGGTGGCTAACAGTGGAGTTGTACGATTTTTTTTCTGACATTGAGTGAGTCTTTCTTAGCTTTTCTCCCTCGTTTCCTTCCTTCCATCTTCCACTCCCTCCATCATCTTCACTAAACCCTCCATCATCTTCTCCAAATCTTCCAAACAAAGAAATCCATCACCGCCACCGCAATCACCATCTCTATCTCTCTCAACCCAACCTCCCCCTATCCAGCATCCCTATTATGTTTCTCAACTCAAAACGAAAGGAGTGAAATCGCTTTTGTTTCAAGACGGGGTGTGTAGGCATTAGCATCTTTGCTAACGGGGTTGCGTAGTTGCTATTATAAAGTCTGGCGTATGGATTCTTTATTATAAAGCCTTATATAATAACACATCAGGGCGTTACGTAGTTGTTATGCGGTGGTTGATGTGAAGATCTGATTGTTTTGGTGGTTATTTATATTTACATTTTTTTGGCCTCTATGTGTCTCTAGGATTTGTCTTTGATTTAAACCGGGCCTATTGGGAAGCATAATTCATTGAAATTTTGAAGAGTTGTATACTCAACTAGTTTGTTTCAAAGTTATAATCCAATGAATAATCTTTTACATATATTTATATTAGGTACCTATTAACAGTAAATTCAAGTAATTATATATATTTAATCAAATCACTACTATTATTATTCTTACAAAATTTACCATGTACTAAGCTAACTCGGCTCATCTAAAAGACGTCTTAAAGTCGCTGGTATATACCAAGTTTTCTTAAAGCAGCTTATGTTAACTACATCCTTAAAATTTTGGTTTGTTAAAATTAGTCTGACAACAGAGGAACTATTGGTCATATAACTTCATGATATTTATTACATGTCTACATATTATATATGATTAAACCCTCAAATTATTTAAATCTGCTGCTGACTTCAGTTTTTGTACTATGCTAAAAGGGACGGTAATGCTAATGCATTGGTTGAAGTAAAAACTTATTATGGCTTCTTTTATTAAAATACAAAAGGAGGGAAGACTTGTATGATGATGGAGGTGGCTGTATTGGTACTTATCTGGTTTAACATATGAAGCACCAATCACATTTCATGTATGAATAAAAAGGAGTTTAAACAACATTATTCTTATTTTTGAAAACTGCAATATTTCATTACAATGGTGAAAATAATATATTGTGGCGGGTTTATACACTGTCTTGTAAAAATAATATATAAGTTATATTTAAGAAAACATTATTTCAATATAAAAGTAAATGTGTAGTCATAAAATGTGTGATTAAATCTACTAATAGAATTTGTAGTTACTTTTCATGGGTTGTTTTATGACACATCTTTTTTCTAGTTAAAAAATAGACGTGTTTTTCTTATATTTCCAATACCAAGACATTTACTTTTTTCTATAATTATAAAATAGACTTTCAACTCTATTGTGATTTTAATCAAACGATCTCAATAATGATAACTGTAAGGGAAACGGTGGACCCGTTGTTTGCTTTGGTCAAATGTTAATAGATTTTGTGCCAACAGTGGGTGGAGTGTCACTAGCTCAAGCACCTGCTTTCCAAAAAGCTGCTGGTGGTGCTCCTGCCAATGTGGCTGTTGGCATCACTAGGCTTGGAGGTTCATTTGCTTTTGTAGGCAAGGTGTATTTCTATATCCATGTCATGTGTTATATTGTTTGAAGTTAATTACATTTATTTGAATAAGACTGTTCCAGGACATCTCCTCGAACCCTCTCCCTTGAAAAGAAAGTATCAAAGAGATAGATAACATGTTGCATGCTGAATTCTGGATAATAATATCTTAAAAGTTGTGCAAGTGCTGAACATACAATTATGAAGAGAGATTCTCCCCGAAGTGGTGGATCCTGACCACGTGGCGGAGGAGGCTGACAAGTTCATCAAGCACCCCTTCTTCCGGAAAATGGAGCACGTGCAAGACCGCAACTACTCCGACCATCACCACATCGCTAACCCGTTAGCAAAGATGCCTATGCCCACACACCCCGTCTTGAAACAAAAGCGATTTCACTCCTTTCGTTTTGAGTTGAGGAACAGAATAGGGATGCTGGGTGGGGAGGTTGGGTTGAGAGAAGTCAATTAAAATTTTATGAATAATAATTGTGAATAAAAGTGATAATAAACTAGGTTATACTTCCCCGTAATCAATTTACACTAATGGATATCAAGTGTATATTAATACATATATATTAACAAACTTTGTTTTTAGTTGTAAATCATATGTTACTTTAAATGGTATACTTGTTGTATTTTAGGTGGTTAAATACGTATTTAGATCTCAAATTTAGATTTTTAGTTATTTGGCTTTGATCCACTAAACAAACAAATTTAATTATAAAAATGGGTTGAGTAGATATGCAAGTTTTTTAAACTACGAAATTTAATGATTACATATATACAGTATTTAAATTTGATTAAAATAATTAAATCTAAATATGAGAAATTAAATTGGTTTAAATTTAAAAATTAACTAATTTCAATTTTAATTAAAAATTAAAGGAAAAAACATATTTATTCTTAACCTTAAAAATAAAAGTAACAAAATTAAAATAACAAATAATATAAAATATGTTTAAAGAAAAAGAAATTACTTTTGTTTTACATGAAATATTTAATATTGTGAAAATGAAATTTGTTTCTATATTTAGGTAAGGAGTCAACAGTTTTATATTATTTAAAAATAAATAAGTTATCCTGTATATGAATTATTTGATCAATGACGCTCTCATTCTATTATTATTTTTTACACAAATGAATTGATGAAAATTACATCTTGTTTTTTAATTAATTATGATCTCTCCTTAAAAAAAACTATAAGAGACCGAAGTTATTTTTTCCCTTTGTTTTGCTAAAAAATTGCATAATTATAAAAATTGGCTAATTGATGGTGAAAGAATTAGATTCTAAGTGTTGTTAGAAGTTAGATAATGAAATTCATTGATGTAAAAGTATAGTGAAATGTGATGGAATGTAAGGGATTTTTTTCACTTTTCCCCCTCTTGTTCTCTCATAAAAATTTACTATTTATCACTCTTGTTTATCATACTCTAAATACAAGAGGTGCTGTCCTTAAATAAAAATTAAATATTAAATAAAAGAATTATTTTAAGCGAGAAGTTGAAAATAATTTATGAGCACTACCTTGTATTATGATGCATATATAAAAATATAGTAGAAAAAGAGAGATAAAAATTGACTAAGTAGAGGAATTGCAATAAAAATTGTCATAAAGACCAGAACCAACTTCTACTTCCAAAACGGTGCGTTGGAGCGAAGTCGTTCGTTGTCCTCGTTCATCGTGGATCTGAATTCTGAATTGTGAACTCCGAATCTCTGTTCTCCCGTGCTCCTTGATTCGCCCACGCTGTAGCTGAACTGGTTTATCAATTTGTCTCCACGGAGAGATTCAAGTTCTACACGTACACACAAGATGGTGGTAACTTCCTCCGCGCGTGATTATATCAACCGCATCTTGCAAGACATCTCCGGCATGAAGGTTCTAATCCTTGATTCTCAAACGGTACGCTGCATCTTCCCTCAATGATCTTCCATAATGTTGGGAAATCCGATCAGAATATCAACCTATTGATTTTTTTTTGGAATAAAAAACACTTGTGTTGCACACAGTTGGCTCGTTTTTTCGTTTTTTTTTTTAATTTTCGCTCTGAGTTTTAGACAATTAATTGCCACTTCTTATAATTGGAATCATCTGTTTATTGTATTGGGATCATTGTGCAGTGGAGGTGAGACTCCGCATTACATGAATGTTTGTGTGTTTACATATATTTATGTATCTATGTATTTTTCATCAAGGCAAATATAATGATGAGGCTCCCTACCTTTGACAATCATAATGGATTGATTTATTTTTTGATATTGGTCTCTACTAACATTAGGTTTTTAAATTATAGCATTGATACAGTTGTGTAAAGTCACTCTGAGTTTTTATGGCCTAGAAACTAATGAATTATGATCTGGCTTATACTATTTTATTTTACTTTATCAAAATCATATGTCAACCTGCCAAGCAGACTTGGTTACTAGAATCTATTTTGCTTGTCCTTGTTAAGGAGGAAAATGGTGTTCTGAAGTTGAATCTACTCTTTTGGCAAATTGATGCAGGTTGGTGTTGTGAGTGTTGTGTATTCGCAGTCAGAGCTTCTCCAGAAAGAAGTGTTTTTGGTTGAATTGGTAGATTCTATTTCCAAGTCGAGCGAATCGATGTCGCATCTCAAGGCCGTTTACTTCCTTCGACCTACATCAGAGAATATCCAGTTTTTGCGCCGCCAGCTAGCTAATCCTAGATTTGGAGAGTATCACCTATGTAGGTTCTTTAAATTTTATGCTTGAATGTTAGATAAGCTGCGGTGCAGTACATCCTTTAGAATTTAATTTTTAATTTCCCCTTGTTAATTAGTAATGCTTTCCCATTGATTTGAAGACACTTTGTGAATCCATTCTGAAATTACAGTTTTCTCCAACATATTGAAGGACACTCAGATTCACATTCTTGCTGATTCTGATGAACAGGAAGTTGTCCAGCAGGTTCAGGTAGCTGTTTATGCATGCACTGTACTGCAATTTCTTTCTCCCCACTTGAACTTGAAACTTTACTATTTCTTTTACAGTTTTTGAACTCTGTAGGAAGTTCCACATCAACTAGAGATAAAGCTAATTCATAATACATAAATGGGTGCAGACTTGATCTTACAAGTCGGTTTTATAAAGTTGAATTAGACTTGAAGTTTACTTCTTAATAAACTCATTGTAATTTTTTTATGACATGCTTGTCCAAGAATACATTTTAAAATAGATAAGAAAATTATACATCATTTGATTGTATCACAAAAAGTATTACGAGTTTGCATGAACAAAATCCTAGATGGAACATGAAATGATATCTACCACTTTATTGTCCTTCCTATCCTATGATTGCATACTATTACATTCTTTATCTGACAAATGGCTCCACATTTGTTGATTATGAAGCCTTCACCCCCTTCTTCTCCCACCAACATTTTGTGTTGCAAACTTTAATTCTGATACAGCTGTTGTCCTGATCATCCAGGAGTTCTATGCAGATTTTGTTGCAATTGATCCTTATCATTTCACTTTCCATGTGCCTTCACATTACATATATATGCTCCCAGCTGTGGTAGATCCTTCAACAGTGCAGCGCTTTTGTGACCGAGTTGTTGAAGGGCTTGCAGCTGTTTTTTTGGCACTAAAACGCAGACCAGTAATTAGGTATCAAAGGACGTCTGATATTGCAAAAAGGATAGCACAGGAAGCAACTGTGAGTTCAAGTCCCCTTTTCTAACTCACGGCATTTTCTTTTATGTGAAATAATTATATTTGTATTTGAGAAATGTAGTTATCAGTTTCCACAATGAATTCAAACTTTTATACCTTCATCATTCATATGATTCTGAATCAGATAGAGCTCTTTTCTGAGTGCGTATGTACTGCTGTGCACACATAGTAATCTATATGTTATTTAGGCTACCTTTCTAGCTATGCGTGTATCACAACATGCCATATTTATCATTAGTGAGTGTGCTGGCATATTAGTGAAAGCTAATTTACATTGTTGGGCTTGAACAGAAACTGATGTACCAAGAGGAAAGTGGTCTTTTTGATTTTAGGCGAATGGAAGTTTCTCCTCTGTTGTTAGTTATTGACAGGAGGGAGGATCCTGTAACCCCATTGCTAAATCAATGGACTTATCAGGTACCTGGGTTATTAACAAATGTCTAGTGCGTATAATGTAATAAGTTGTTCATTCATATAAGCAATGCTCACTGCGGTGTTATACTGTACAGGCTATGGTTCATGAATTAATAGGAATCCAAGACAATAAAGTGGACTTAAAATCCATTGGTAAATTTCCAAAAGATCAGGAGGTTAGATACATTTCTTACACATGGTACTTGTGTTAAGTGTATTGCAGTACAGAATTTGTGCTCATTAAAAAACAGTTATTTGCTATTTCTTGTTCCAGGAGGTTGTGTTGTCATCGGAACAAGATCTCTTTTTCAAGGCTAACATGTATGAGAATTTTGGAGATATAGGTATGAATATCAAGCGAATGGTTGACGAATTTCAACAAGTGTCAAAAAGTAACCAGAACATCCAAACAATAGGTTTGTATTTTTTTCATCCTCTCACATCAGAGTAAACTTTTCATCAACAATTACACAGACAAAAACTTATTTATACTTGGTGGCATTGTATAAAATTCACCGATTTTATGATTTGACTCTTGGCAGAGGACATGGCCAAATTTGTTGATAATTATCCTGATTACAAAAAAATGCATGGAAAGGTGACAAAGCATGTGACTTTAGTAACCGAAATGAGCAAGATAGTTGGTGAGCGAAAGCTTATGTCAGTTTCACAAACAGAACAGGAGTTGGCTTGCAATGGAGGACAAGGAGCTGCTTTTGAGGTATATATTATATAGTCTTAATTTATTGAAACATTCTCCTTTGCTTTTGCTCAATTTTCAGAAATTCTTGTAGGGCCATGGAATAAAGTTTAAATTGATTTGTTAGTCCCTAGACTGCTTTGGAAACATTTAAATAGGTCTGTACTACACTTTTAAATTTGGGTCCTTGAACTTATAAATAGTTTTTTGTTGGGTCGTTGGGCTAGATTATCATATGAACCAAATTGAAAAATAAGAACTGGAAGTATTATTTATATGAAGTAGTCACGGAGTCAGAGGAAGAATCCTCTGTTACAAACTTAAACTATATGAAGGTTGAAATTTTGACTAGAAGTTTGATGCAGACTACGGTATTATGGGGTGCCTAAGCCTCATATTGAGTAATATCATATACTCAGTTGAGTACATAAGTGGCTTGAACTCTTTAACTGCTAGATTTTAAGGGAGGGTTTCTCAAGCACTTGGAAGCTTATCAATTTGTATTAGCGCTGATTTTCAATATCTGTGGAGTGGGCCATAAAAGTTGAGTGAAGTGTCACATTATGCAGTGCTTAAGTCCAAATAAACTTTTATAGGATGCTAGGTGTACATTCATAAGTCACTTGATTCCCACCCTCTTTAATAGTTAGCATTTAAGGGAGGGTTTCCTCAATACCAAGGTCCTTATTAGAGCTAAACTCTTCCTTACAACACAAGTGGAAGAAATAAGAAAAGTAAGAACCCCTGTATTAGAGATATTATGATTTGATTATATTGAAGGTATATTTTGATTACATTAAATTGAAGGTATATTGAAGTGTCAGATTTTGTTGGAGATCAGCTCATATCAATCAGAATCTGTTTGAGATCAGCACATATCAATCAGAATCATTCAATTCTTATTTGTAAAGCCCATAATAGGATTTAACGTAAATAAAATCAATTATTATTTCCTTATTTAGGTAGAGCATTTATAGGGAGAATTATTTACCTGATTTTCTGGGAAAGATTGGTGTATAGATTTACTCCCTTGGTATTGTATTTATACCTTTTTTGTACTTTTCCCAAATCAGAAAATATACATCATATTTTGCAGATTTGATAGAGAAATATGTTGCCAAATACTTCCCATTATTAAGTATTGATTTTGTTTATTATTATTGTAACTCTTTTTCATTATAAATAAAAATATTCATATGTACATAACACACATAATTCATTATATTCCTTCTAGGTTAATCTCTCTCCACTCATCAGTACTGTGAGAAAAATTAGTATTTGGTCTAGTGGACTGGGAGAATCCCGTCAAAAACAAGTTGAAGAAATGAAGAATCCTTCTGAAATTTTCTTATGTACATTATTACTTGCTTTTCTTGTGCTCTGCACATGGGACTTGGTGCAGTATTTCTTTCGGCAGTTCTGGGAAATCAGAAAACTAATCTATGATAGTTTTTCATTTCAGTTCAAAGATTTGTTAGAACGTGCATGTTACCCCTGTGATTAGTATAGCCTCTATCTTCATTAACTGCATATGATATACCCTAAGGATTCAGAATCTACATATGTTTTCCCTCATAAGTTAAAAGTATCAACAATCAACAGTTAAGTATAAGATTAAACAAATCCTTGAAAAATATGTCTTTATTAGTTTGGTTTCACTTGCCCAAATACTTCATATGTAACAACAAACACATATGGTTTATGAAACAATCTTGTTATTTCAACCTAACGATCACCACATAAAATGTTTTCTTTTTCTATTTTTCCTTGCTACTTTTTGGATCAACAAATATTAATTGTCTATGCATTAGTTTTTGTTTGTGGGGAATTCGAACCTATGACATCATGTCCTTCTTCCGCTTACCACCAAGTCAACCTTGTGTCCCTATATTTTTAGTTAATTGTTATTCTGTGTACTGATGAATGCTTTAAAACACTAGAGGCGATAAGTTATGTTTCTATGTAATCTTCTGCAGGCAGTGACAAATCTACTAAACAATGAAAGTGTATCAGATCTGGATCGACTACGTTTAGTCATGTTGTATGCTTTACGATATGAGAAAGATAGCCCTGTTCAATTAATGCAGCTCTTCAATAAACTGGCTTCCAGATCTGCCAAGTACAAACCTGGGGTAAACTAATTTAAGCTATTCCTTTTCTTAAATCCATTATTCTCGTGCAAGAATGTTTGAATATTTATCCTTAAACCTTACCAGAACATGAACTTTTTAATCCTTGGATAATTGAATAGTGATGATGAAATTTTTGTGGTTGCGCTATCTTTCCATGCCACTGGCTTTGGATTCTGAAAGTATAATTTGCATTCAAATGGACTCAAATTTAAATTTTGAACAGCATATAGATGGGTGCCACTGTTGTTTCTGATATAGTTACACAAGAAAGTTACTGATATTGATATCTTTATTATGGTGCAACAGCTTGTCCAGTTTCTTCTGAAGCAAGCGGGTGTTGACAAGAGAATGGGTGATCTTTTTGGAAATCGAGATCTAATGAATATTGCCCGTAACATGGCTCGAGGTTTGAAGGTAAGCATAGAAATATATGATTATTGTATCATATCCTTAATAATCCAATCCATGTCTTCATGCTTAAAAAAAATCTTTCATTCTGAGTTTTTGAGCAGGGTGTTGAGAATGTTTACACCCAGCACCAGCCACTTCTGTTTCAAATCATGGAAAACATTGTCAAGGGGAGGTTGAGAGATGTGGACTACCCATTTGTTGGAAATCACTATCAACAGGGAAGGTTTGTTGCTATTAAATATAAATTCCTCACTATATCTTATTTGTGAATTCCTAGATGTAATTGTGTCTATCCAAAAGTGATGCTACTACATTGTTGCCTGATTTCTAAATAATGTGGTATTAATTGACACGACTCTACAAACTTCTCAGTTTTTAGTACTGACTATTTACCAAATTGATGTATGATATTATTCCAATTGTCTACAATGTAATGTGGCACTGTTTATGTGATAACTTGTATTGCAAATCTATCAAATAACAGGGTGTCACAGGCCCCGCTTTGGGGGTTCGCTATCTTGAGCTTTAAGAGCAAACTATTACTTGAGTTTTTCTTTGTAGTGAGTCCACACACTTGATGAGTACAAGATTCTGCAATTCTTTCAGCGTTATACTCGAAGTTTATTTTATCCATTGTACAGATGCGACCTCCGAGGGAAGAAAAATATTAATTCCCGTTCTTCCTATTCATAAAAAGTTTGAACTGAGTTAATCTGTGTGGTTACCTTGCAAGAGTTCTGTGATGTGGTAGTATTGACATCACATGATTTCATATCGGCTGCTTTGGCCTATGATCTAAATTCTTTTAATAATACCCTCTCACAGACCTGTAACTTATGCATTCTGTTAAATGTGTTGCGTTCAACTAACAGCTGCCAGAGTAAACTATATTTTTGGAATTAATCTGATTAGTTATCTGATAATTCTATTTTAGGTCTATCAGAATTTTATGTGCTGCATTTTAAAAAAGATTATTTAGTAGTTCAGAAATTTTCACTGCAACGTTCTGTCAATGTTTGTTCAATATCCTGAGTCCCTCACGAATCATCTGGGAAAGGCTTTTTGACCAGTTATGTTAGACATCAGGAAGCATTGAATACAATTAGACCTTCATAAGTGTATTATAGGAAAAAAGGTCAAGATAGGAATTAAACCTATTTTTGTTAGGAATACAAATATGAATTGGAAGTCTTACAAGTAAAAATGAGCAAGTCGAGTGATATACAAGAAAAAAGAAAGACCCACAAATATTGAGTCTTGTATGGAAAACTCAGACCTCCTTGGTGGTGAATCCCCCATTCTATCCTACTAAAAATTTCCTAACTCTAGTAGTTAGGATCAAGGGAAGTGTATTGAGATAAATGGGTGCGGACAAGAATGTTTTGTGGTGGTAGAAACCCGTGGTAGAATCCAAGTATAAGTTGAAAGTTTCATATTGAGTAAAAATAAAAAAATTAAGTGTCATGTAAGAAAACAAAAATGACCCACAAACATTGAGAGATAGTTCATCCCACTAAAAATTTCCCAATAATTTTATCTTTTGGTCTATTAGTTAGGATTTCTGTTATGAGTAGTTTTTGTTTTAGGAATTACAGTGATTTTAGTTTATAACAGAAGTTGGTACCCCAACTTTCTTTAAATAGGACCTCTGTTATTGAAGAGGAGAGATTTTCTTTTTGTTAGCCAAAAACTGGACAGATTCCAGTGTGAAAGGAGGAATCTCTTGTGTACTTGATTTTTTTCAAAACACAATAAAAATCAGGGATGAACAAAGCCTTGTCCATCTGTCATCTCAGAAATTCTGACAAGTAGACAGAGTGCATTTGTAATATAAGTTTTTAATTTTAATTATTAGCCTTTATTATCATAGAATTAATAAATAATCCAATTTGTGTTGTTGACGACTATATGAAATGCAGGCCACAGGATGTAATCATCTTCATTGTTGGTGGGACAACTTATGAGGAGTCTCGGTCTGTTGCTTTACAAAATGCCAACAATACTGGTATTCGGTTTATACTTGGTGGCTCTTCTGTTCTTAATTCTAAAAGGTATGATTTAGTCATAAAGATAGTTTGGATTTGATTAGTGCAGATGTTTACTTTTGACTTGGCTCTCAATTTAGCATGATAGAATTGGTTTTAGTTGTTGAATAACAGTTCCAAGGTTATCTTAGTCATAGTTTGGGCCAATAAGTCGATTGAAGTATTGCTTGAATTGAGTTATTGACCTAGGTTTAAGTGATAAAGTTTATTGCGCTGGTCTTAAATTTGTCTTCCAAATATATGCTTTGTTATATTTGATTATTCATTGGTTGGTTCAGGGTGCTTTAGTTAAGTGCAAAAACATTCAACTTGCTCTACACTATGTGAAATTCTGAATTTCTTAGCAGCATAGATGTTTTTCTTTTTGAATTTACAGGTTTTTAAAAGACTTGGAAGAAGCTCAAAGGGTAGCTCGCTCTAGCACCACTGTTGTTTGAAGCTTCTCGTGGCACATTTTTTCATCTGAGGGCCCGATAGATATAGTTTTTACAGCTTCAGGATGGGGATTTCTGCTTTGGACCCATGTATATGTATTAGAAAGTGTTGCAGACGGAGCTTGATGTGTGGAATCAGACTTAATCATTTTTCCTGCAGAAGATCATCATCAATCATTTCACAGGTACTGACAATTTACTGCGGATGAATGCGATTCAGGATGAGTATTGACAAGATCAAGGACAAACCATCCTCCCCTCTCTTTTGTTGTGGGGTTGAAGTAGGACACGGAACGCATAGGTACAATGAAAGAAACCTTTTTTGTGTAATTTTTGGTCATCATTTTTGCTGATCAAATCTAATGGTTTTATTGACACTCGCTAATGAAAGAACAATTTTGTATAATCGTGTAATGAATGTCCCATTCTTTTGTATACCAACAGATGCTTTCCATTTGTAGATTTATAGAGCCATAATAAGTTCAGGTTGTGAGTCTATTTTGATTAATATCATTTATTATACATGCACTTAATGATGCCATTTTGTCTGTTAGAGCGATCAGAGTACGTCTGATTTGAATAGGCTGCAAAGATAATTTTTAGCGAAGAGGCATGAGTCTGGTGCCAAACTTTCATTCTCGTGTATACCTTTAATGACAAATCAATTGTGCGAATGTTTCATTGAGACATCTTAATCTTGTACAAATCTATCTTTCTTGTGCGGCACATGAATTGTGTTTTATTTGAACTGAAAAAAAAAAAACAAATAACTCTACTTAATGGTTTTCAGGGTGTAGCAATTAAATATAATTTTCAGGGAAATGTGGGGGTGTGGGGGAGGGTAGTCATGTGGTTAATAACTGAATGATTTAGCGAGATACTTGGTGGAGGTGCGAGTGACATTGTTTACTAGTATTCTAAGGGTTCAATGTAAATTATCGTGTTTAACATTGGTAGCTTGAACATCTTGGGTGGTATGAAACTAGGTGTGAAGTGTGGTTATTTTGTCTAAGATAATTTGGAAGGTTTCGTCAATATTTTTACTAGGTTTAGGAACAATGACTCAATGAAAGCACTATAATGATATGCTAACAAACTAAAAAAAGATAAAAAAAAAAAGAAATAATTTTTTTTTTCTTTCTTCATTCAAGCATAACACTTGGTTTTATAAAGATTTTGTAAAAAGATACATGTAGAATACATGTATCACTCTTTTAGTAGAAAGTATTCTTGTTTATACCAACTTATAAGAGCAGTAGAAAGTATTCGTTTTTATACCAACTTATAACAACTTTTAGTAGAAAGTATAATCCTTCATTCAAATGGACATGGATATTAGTAGGATGAGTCTATCATTAGATTGCAATAGAAATGCATTTTTATCATTATTCTTGTTTTAATTAATGAAATAGATTTTATTTTTGAAGTCATTTTTTTAACAAATTAATGATTAAAATATGTAATGATTAAATGATATTTCAAAATGGGGTCATGAAGCAAACAAATTATTTATATACTGAAATATTCCAAACATATATATATATAAATATATATATATATATATATATATATATATATATATATATATTATTGAGTCTAGATGTGACTTGCATTCTTAATTCAAAGAAACTTTCAAATATATTAAAGGTTTTACAAAATTGTTATTTAAATGCAATGGATAAAAGTTGTCTAGTGAGAAAAATATAGGGCTTATTCTAAAACAATGTTTTTTTTCTATTGCTAATAAAGAATTAAAATATAAAAAAGTAACTAACCATACTTCAACGTGTGTATAAAGTGTATGTATATTCATACTCAATACGAGTATAAAAAACACACTCCTAGTTGAATTCTCAAACAACAATAAGTTAAGAGGTGTATCATGATCTAACAATATCCAATATCTATAAGTAGATTAAAAAGAAAGATAAAACAAAACATTATAGTCGCTTATGGATATTTAGATTATAAGCAAAAAGGTTGCCACAAACTGAGGTATCTTTTGTGGGTTCCTCTCTTGTAGTTCTTAACTCACGCTTTCAGATTTTGCGATTATGACACAGTTAAAATGGTTGCAAATACAAATCTTGCATCCATACTAGAAAACCAAGGTTATGTGTTCACAACTCCTGCCCAAGATACAAACTGGGTTTCATTATGTCATAGAAATCAATCAAAAAGGAAAGTGTGTGACAATACTTATATCATGATCTCACAAGCTGATGTTACATATAACCATAGTTGCACCCTCTATAAGGCTTTTTACCCCATATCTACCTTAATTGCTTAATGACCCACGATTTAACTTGAGCAACTATGACTCTTCCACATCTATTTTGGCGTTTCTAAAAATAACTATTTTTGAGAAGTCAAATACTCCACACAATTGTGACCCACATTGCCTTTCACACTATATTTTGCATGTTAATCAGAGTCACAATACTGAATCCAAAAAAGTGAAGTTTAGGTGTGTAATGTTGTGTACCCAACCAACTATTTCATAAATCCCAATATCGACTTGTACTCATGCATGTAGAAAATAAATGATTCACTTATTCTTCCGTAGTTCCACACATCACACATATCATCTTATTCTGGACAGTCACCCTTCTTAGAATCAAATGATCAACTCTTGAGAGTTTATTTTGCAACATATTCTTGTAAGGACATCAGATCAATTCCCCACACTCTTGCTGAGACTAAGGATATTGAAGGGTTGACTTAAGACACAATTGAAAGCCCAAATGACCCCACCCCTACACATGTGGAAAGACCTAGAAGGATACCACACCAACCACAATGTTTAACTGATTATGTGGTGACGTGTCCAAGTAACCGTAAGAATGGAAAAGTTATTTAGAAATAATTGCAGGAGAATCTTATTATTAGGGTATTATATATATCATATTGTAAGGCTGTTGGCTAGTGTAGGGTATTATATATATCATGTTGTTAATGAAAAAGAGGGTAGAAAAAGAATTATATAGTGAATATCTTCTCTCTGCAATATTTTATATCTTTTACCTATGTCATTTCTTTCATTCTCCTGCCAAGTACCTTTCATTTGGTGCTTTCGTTGTACTAACTCTCTCCATGGAGGCTCCTTTGTCTCACACTAACGAATTTGCTCGCCTCTACAAACAACTAGAACATATCATTTTAGCCCAAGCCAATTTTGCAAACACATTTCACGACATTTATGAGTGCACCTCCCTCCTCGAATCAAAACCTCCACCACTTTTCTCTCAACACTCCTTTTCCCGTCTGCTTAAGTTTGACCTTCCAACATTCGACGACAGATGCTCGTGGCTGGATTTTCAAGGTTACTCAATTCTTTGAGTATCATTAAACACCACCCGATCAACGAATCCAGATATCTCATTTTATCTTGAAGGTCTCGCATTATCCTGGTTCCAATGGATGTTTAACAATGGACTTCTTATTTCATGGGAGTTATTTCTCTGTGCCTTGAAGCTTTGTTTTGCTCCCTCCAAGTTCGAGGGTCCCATTGCCTCTATCTGTAAGCTCTCCCAAACCAAGAGCCTTCATGACTACCTTTCTAAGTTTGATACACTCGCTAAAATATTGAGAAACGTTACAATATTTACAACTTAAAAAAGTAATTATCCATTAATATTTTTATTCTAATTTTAATTCCCTGTTCTAACCCATAATTAAAAAAATTAACTAAATCCTAAAAATAAGAAGACTCAATTAAAATTAAAAATAAAATATTCCTAAATCCTTTTCTTAACACTCTTTAGGAAGGGTAAACCTTTATTAAAGGTCAATCTGGCTTAAGTAAAAAAATTTTGAATCTTGAAATGTGAATTCTAACATAACCTTTCTTGACAGCTTCACCGTTGATTTTATTAACACCTTCAGGCTCCTTCTCTTCTTCGTCTTCATAGTCAAAAAGGTCTTCCTCGTACGCCTCGTTCCAATAACATACTAAATTGTTTCCTAGTTCATCCATGGTCATCCATAATAAGATCATGGCCCTTTCCACATGAACTTGTTGAGGAGCATTATAGCTAGATAGGGCAGCAAATACATCATTTTGTAGGGTCATGTCCTTAGCCATATTGACCTTCCTAATGAAAGAAATTGTTTTGCTCCATGGCAAACCACAACCATATTGAGAAGGATCAAAACCAATGTTGCAGCTATTGCTACAAAATAAGAGAAACTTTTTGCACCCAACATATGATGAGGATGTCTTAGCTTCTTGTGCCAGATTTTTGTCACATTTTCCTTGAGTGAGAATACAGTTTGCTCCTCCTCCAATGGTTTTAGATCAAAGCTTTTCCCTTATCGTTTTCACCTTGAACATATCTTGACCAGTTGCATCTTTAATCAAGCAATTTGTGTCTTCAAAAATAACTCTAAATCCTCTTTCAATCAGTTGACCAACACTTAACAAATTTTGGTCAA